TACTTTTCAAAACACATCCAACAGAACAAAAGTTGTTTATTTATTTATACAATAAAGTGCTTATTTTTCAATTAAATGTCATCTATAGAATATACAGTACAATACAACAATTTTCAATCTTCATAGTAGATTTGTCCCTTTTTGTGGTAGTTTATTTTGAAAAAATAACCAGATCTGCCATGTCCTCTTTGTAACGTTGTTAAAGTAATAACGGGGACGTTTATATGACAAGCAGAGAACCGTATGGGAACGTTCTGTTAACATCCCGAATGTCCTCTTTGTAACGTTGTTGTGTGACCATAGAATAACCAATATCGAACGTCCCCCTGAAGTCACATTGGGAACGTTATTATATGACCAACAGAGAACCGTATGGGAACGTTCTGTTGACGTCCCGAATGTCCTCTTTGTAACGTTGTTGTGTGACCATAGAATAACCAGTATGGAACGTCCTCCTGAAGTCACATTGGGAACGTTATTATATGACCAACAGAGGACTGTATGGGAACGTTCTGTTAACGTCCCGAATGTCCTCTTTGTAACGTTTGTTATGTGACCTTAAAATACCCCAAATACAACGTCCCCCTAAGGTCATATAAGGAACCTTGAACTGCAGCACTTTCATAACCAAAAGAGGACGTTCTATGAACGTCCTCAATGTTCTATAAAGGTTCGGAACTTTCGTTACCTTTAGAGAACTTTTAGGGAACGTTGCATAAGGTCGCGAGAACGTCCCCTCCTACGTGGGAAGTATGTTCATTATGTCCTCAGTTGTATGCTGTGTAATATAATGCAATGCTATACTGTTCAGTGTTGTGCATATGTTTATGCCACAAGAGGGCACTAAAGTATAGGCTATGGAGGATGCGTTTGTATTATTATTATGTTTGTCCAAGTTGATTTACCGTAGTTAAGAGGATCATATTACTGAGAGAATCTTCATTAGAGACTGATGTGTCAGTGTCAACAGCTGAAATAAATATGCCAAGAACGGCTAAAGATAACTCATCTCTATCGTCCACTCTTTTCTTTTGAATGCAACGCAAGCTGAAACATAACTCAACATCAATTCATTTACGATCACGTGAAAACGTAGGTTAAATCTTGCTTGTGTGATACATGACTTAATATTTTGGACAAAAATACACCTGGGCGCTTTCCGTGGTCCATCAGTTATCACTGAGGTAACGTTAACGTTAAATGGCAGAACGCCAGGTCAGGATTTACACGAAAAAAAAGCGTGAAAAAATCAATAAGAGGAATTGACACTTTAATTTTATAACAATAAATCCGAATCCTAACCTTGGATATCCGATTTCAGGATATCGATTTTCAATTCCTAACCCCTATAAGTTATAAAATAATGAACGTGCAGGCGCTTTCACCGACTTAACGTGGTAAATAACAAAATGATTAGACCATTTGACCTTATAAGAGGTTACATATGAAATATATGTTAATAAAATCACATATTTAATCAAGTAAGTTAGGCTATCAAGATGAAAGAAATCCGCGTCTGACTTATGCTAGGCTTATAACATTCCGCGGCCAGTTCTTTCTAACGTTAATCTGTTAACGTACACAACTCATATGGTTTGCATAAAAATATGAATTACTAACCAGATATGTATGGCGAAAACGATGCACGGCCTGCGCGTTCTTACAGAGAGAAGGGAACTGAAGAGTTCTTCATAAAATGGCAGCTGGTTGTGGTTATTTTTCGCGGTCATTTCGTACTAATGTATTTGAATTTACAGTAACATGCCCCAAATGGCTACATTGAAGAGTAGCCTATCATATACATATTATATTAAAATGTCTAGAATAGATTAAATTGAATGTAGAAATCGTGGTCAGCTATTCTAAAAAACTTTAAAGTTATTAGCTAGAATCCGTATACACATTATAAGAATTATTACTTACCAGATGAAGAAGTTGCAGGTCGGCAGAAAAGACAGCAGCACCACTGACACGACAGAGAAACTCTTCCAAAGTCAAATGCTTTCATGCACACCCCACTGACATAAATTATGTCATAAATTATGACTGTTAATGGTCAACCAGTGCTACATTTTTATTTTAAATGTAAGAATAACATTAGTAGGCTAGCAATTTTTCCGTGGAACTGCGTGTGGTGTTTTTCGCGGTCAATTTGCACTGTATTTAGATTAACAGTAACTGATAATTTCCCAGAATGCATTGAAATTCTACAGTAACATACTGTCAACTGTGTGCACAGTACATAACTGTTGAAAAAACATTTTAATACTGTGAAAACAACTAAATCTACTGTAACTTACTGTACATAGATTATACAGTAAGAAACTGTTGAGAAAAACAGTATAATCCTGTGAAAACAACAGAAATCATTTACAGTGTATTTAATGTCAAACGTGACCATATATTTTCTTAAGTCATGTTTCTGCATGGCCTTGTTGTGCATGTTTTATTATTTATGTATTATATTACTAAAATTTATTTATTTATTTAAGTCTCTTATGCTGCATTTGATAAAAAAAAAATACAGTAAAAACAGTGATATTGTGAAATATTATTACAATTTTTAATATATATATATATATATATATATATAATTTATTCATGCGGTTAAAGCATCATTACTCTAGTCTTTGGTGTCACATGATCTTTCAGAAATCATTATAATATGCTGCTTCTTGTGGAAACCTTGATTTTTTTTTTCTTTTTTTCATGATTCTTTGATAAAAAGAAAGCTCAAGAACAACATTTATTTGAAATAAAATTCTTTTGTAATATTATAAATATCGGTAAAACTTTACAAAAAAGGTCCCGTTCGTTAATGTTATTTAATACATTGACTAAAATGTACTTAAAAACGAACAATCCCTTTGTTAATATTTTTTTTTTTTTTACTTTTTTGTTGTTGCTGTTGTTCATTGCCAGTTCATGTCAGCTTGGGTCCATTGAATAATGTTAACAGATGCAGCTTTTTATTTAAATAATGTATTAGTAACTAAGATTAATAAATGCTTTATATTTATGCTTTATTGTTACCCAAATGTCACTTGTTTTGATCCATTTAATGCGTCCTTGATGAATAAAACTATTAATAATAAATAAATAAATAAATACTGAACGGCCCACAGAATAGCACATATTTCTGGCTGGCCAGACCATTCAAAATCTCTAAGAATGTGAAATTATGCCAAAAATTTAGTCCTAAATTGCCACTTAAAATGTGCCACCATCTTTCTATCTCACCTCCCACAGGTTCTTGGAGATTTGAACACCACAGCAAGCCTAAAATAACCCCGCGAGTTCAACCAATCAAAGAAGAATCCATTAAGAGGCACAAATTCCCAGTTGCCGCTTATAAATGCAACTGCGTCCAAAAACTGCCGCCTCTATCTCAGGATGGCAAGGGTTGAGCTGGTGCTGTGGGATTGTGAACACAAGTCAATCAAGGTCATGTGGGCCCCGATGGCTTCTCCCCAAGGCAACAGTAATCAATTGCCCTATGGACCTTTGTAAAATGCAGCAAAAAGAGAGCAATAACTTTACTGGCACCGAAGAAACAGAAAATAATGTTATGCGTATCGGCTTTGCTCCACTCGGGTACATTTCATCAGGAAAAAGAGAAGGACTTGAAAAGCTAAATCAATAGTTAATTATATCGGGCATAAACATAAATACAGTTGTGCTAATGCCTCGGTGAGAATTGCTAAGTATTGGTCTTGGTGGGTTTTAAGAGACCCATTTCATCTCATGTAGCCGGTGGTCTATTAAATGCACATGGTGTATTTGTGTACAAATAATGTTCTTATGTACAAGGAAAGAAAGTAAGCTAAGAAATAAATAATGAAAATGTTTAGCCAGAAGCAACTGACCAGCGAAGTGTTGCATGGGCAAGTTTGGATTGTAAGCCATTAGTGGAACAAATGGAAAGCATTTATCAACCGACCCATGTTTACGATCAGTAAAAACATGCCCTAATGAGGAATACAAGATTATATTTCACAAAAAGCACCAAGAGAAGCATGAATACAGGCCTAAGATCAATTTCTACGCCCCTGTTTTTTGTTGTAGGCCTAGGTTTTATACTTGTATACTCAGCTGTCCTGTCTGAGTAGATCAATTCAAAACAATGGCTCATTCAAAACTGGCCATCACTACTTTTTTCGTAAAATATAGTCATATCGGACACTTTTAATTTAGTTTTGAAATGAATTAATACCAATATTCAACAATTCCACATGCATTATTAGCTTGCTATTAAGCATCACAACTGTTTTTAACATTGGTAATAATTGAGCAGCAAATCATCATATTAGAATGATTTCTGAAGGATCATGTGACACTGACGATTGGAGTAATGATGCTGACAATTCACAGGAATAAATTACATTTAAATTGTAATATTTCACAATTTTGATGAACAGACTTTTTTTTTTAAAAAACACAACACAAAAATAATTATAAGTAAGGGTGTAACGATATTCGAACCGAACCAAAAAATAATGGACTTCAATGGGAACCAAACGGTTCAAGATCCAAAAGACAGTTTCAGTGCACCTTCAAAGGGCTTTAAACGACACCAGACGATGAATAAGGGTCTTATCAAGCAAAATGATCGGTCATTTCAAAAATAAATAAAAAAGTTTAGGGTTTTATAAGCACAAATGCTCGCCTTGTTCTGTTCTGAGATGAGCGACTCTCCTGTTCGAACTCGTTCATCAAAATGAACAAATCTTTTTTCGAGTCATGGACCCTTATTCATCGTCTGGAATCGTTTAAAGCCATTTGAAGCTGCACTGAAACTCTCATTTGGACCATGAACCGTTTGGTTCCCATTGAAGTCCATTATATGGAGAAATCCTGGAATGTTTTCATCAAAAACTTCAATTTCTTTTCGACTTAAGAAAGAAATATGTGGAGATCTTGGATGACATCACATGGGGGTGAGTAAATTATCAGCAAAAGTTTTTTTTTTTTTTTTTTATTTATTTTAAAGTGAACTACTCCTGTAAAAGTCTAGGCTACAACCTTAAATGTTATAGTAATGTGCGGCCCACTTTACAGCATTAGCAGATTTTTTTTTATCCTTGTGAAACGTTTAATTTTAATTGAATTAACTTAAAGACAAAGAAATTTTTTTCATTAAACCACTGTTTAAAAAAAAGTAGCTTATTTAGCAATTTTAGCTTTCTAAACCGAGACGTCATAACCGTGGGAAACTGTCATTTTTGTGTATCGTTACACCCCTAATTATAAGTGTGTTCTAAAGAGTGTCCAGAATACTCTTAAAAAAAAAAAAAACTCCCATACACAATTTATTTGAAGTTTATTAGCATGCTCCACAAGTGTTTTCCACCCGCATCTTTGCAGAGAACCCAAATGTGCAGAGCAGATTCCCATCAAGAGAAAGTTCATAGGCCTGGGCTGATCAGCAGCGGACGCCCACAGAGCCGAACCCAGCGAGAAGCTGTGAGATCAACTCATCAAGCACCTGTTCGCATGTCTCATCACAGATTCCCCGTGTTCCCCCTGCCTGCTTTACTGCCACTTAAGAACAGCGGATTCATCATGCATGAGTTCGTGATATTTCATTGACATTCTGATGAAGAGAACTGTAAGTGCGAAATGTGACGCTCGCTGTTGACAAACAAGCAGTTTACATAAACGTGCATGGATTTAATGGCGTCCACCGAGGCAAACGTGTTTTCCTTTCTCCGCAGTTAAATGTCGTCTTTTCGCTGGTGGGGAAGAGGCAGCTTACAGGAATAAGGAGGTGGCCAGTCTGATGTCATGGAGACAATAATATCATCCTCAACAAGGACGGAGGAAATGATAGTGGACATGAGAAAGAAGAGGAGTACGCATCAGCCACTGTTCATCCGGGAGCTTCAAGTGGATAGGGTGAGTCATTTTAAATACTTAGGTGTCCACATTAGTGAGGACCTCACTTGGAAACCACACGTCACGCAGGTGGTTAAGAAGGCCCAACACCGGCTGTATTTTCCGAGGAGGTTGAAGAGGTTTGGTATGTCATCGAGGATCCTCAACTTCTCAAGATTGTCCTGAATGTGGTGTGAAAGCACTACTGTCATGGACCGTAAACGCCTGGTGAAGACTGCACAGAAGATCCCCATTGCCCTCTTTAGAGAGCATATATCACTGTAGGGTCACCAGGAGAGCTGTTTCCGTCCTCATAGACCACTTCTACCCTCAGGATGGAGGTATGGAAGTGTGAAAATCAGGACCTCAAGATTGAAGAACTCTTTTTTCCTAAACAGTCGATAGGAGTTTGCAACCATGGTCGTAACTGTTTGGCTTTATTTAACTGCAATCTTACTTGGTTTTAATCTTACTTTCTATTGCTTTTATTAAGATATTTACTAAGAAATTCTTCCTTCTGTTATTTATTTTTTTATGACATTGTATTTATTGTAAGACATTTTACGCGGACGGCAAAGTAAGAATTGCATACGACAATAATCTCTTTGAACTTCTCGGGTCTCATATCAGTGCATTGCCTTCTATCCACCTCATGTTCCAGGTCACATTGTACAAGATTTCTAGCCTAGAACTGGTTTTAGACGATTAAGACCATCTGACCCGAACCATCTGCTCTTTTGTGTGATTTTCTAATATATAACAGTCCACTTTAGACATTTTGTTGACTCTAAGCAACATTATAGACCATTTCACAAGATGAAAACAACACTGGTCCAGAAGCACTTCCTGTTTGTTTTTTAACACTACATAAAAGCTGGGATAAAATACAACCAACAGAGCATTTAAAACTGAATCAAAAAGTTAAACAAACATCTTTAAGATGTTTTCTTTAGATGTGAAATAAAGAAAAGAGTTACAAACTGAAACAGGAAGTGCTTCTGGACCAGTGTTGTTTACATCTTGTGAAATGGTCTATACATGTCAACTAACTCTCAGTAGAGGATCCAGGGCTCTCAAGTTTTAAAGACAGGCAAGAGTGACAACCCCCCACCCCCCAATTTTCTATTTTCTGATTGGCTATTTTGTAACCCCTTTCTATTTTTTTTTATTTGTTTGTTTGTTTGTTTGTTTTTTGTTTTTTTTTTTGATTGGCTGATATGTGCAGGCTCACCTATGAACTCAATGCTTGATACCGTCCGGTTCCATAGTGAGATAAGTGGCCGGGGAAATTTGTTTTAAAGACAGATAAGAGTGATAACCCCCCACCCCCCAATTTTCTGTTTTCTGATTGGCTATTGTGTAACCCCTTTCTAATTTTTTTTTTTTTTTTTTTTTTTTTTTTGATTGGCTGATAAGTGGCAGGCTCACCTATGAACTCAATGCTTGATTTCGACCGGTTCCATAGTGAGAGAAGTGGCCGTGGAAATTTGGGGCGCTGCGGCGTATTAAATATATTATGCATAGTTTTTCAGCCTGAGAAATACAATGTGTGACGGGAGTGCGTGACAAAAGAGCGAAATTAACTGTCACTCTCAATGCGTGACACTTGAGAGCCCTGAGTATTTTTATTTGATTTGATTTATTTTACACATTTTATTTTTGTGTCTAATTTTAATGACTCATAATTAGACATAATATAGTAATTATATTCAATTTTATCTAATTAAATTTAGCATTAATCTTTAAAATAAAGTTAAAGCGACAAACACAAAATAGTATTTACATATACAGTATATACTTGTAAACATGACAAAACAGCGCAGTCTCATAACTGATGTCTTGGGACGTCTTTTGACCATACGTCAACATCCGCCTTTTTAGGGTACCCTTAAACGTCGGTTAGATGACGTTGTCGGATCCTAACCCTACCCCAGACCTAAACCTACCCCGTCACCTAACCGACGTTAAAGGTAAAACGTCAGTTGTATGATCTTCATGTAACCGACATTTAAGGGTACCCTAAAAAGGCGGATGTTGACGTATGGTCAATAGACGTCAGTTAAATGACTTCTTGGGATGAGACTGTGTTAGACAAAAACATGAAACAAGGGCACACACTAAGGCCGTGTGTCCACCAAAGCGTTTTTCCACGCGCCTGGCGTATGTTTTCAATGGGAGCGCCGCGTTTTTTAAATGCCAAGAGCGTAAAGAGGCACTGAGCGTTTATTTCACGCTGAAGCGCTGAGCGCCCGGTGTTATTTTTTACTAGCCGCCGAGAGTTGAAAAATGTTCAACTTTGGATAAAACGCAGCGCTCATCACTGTCACTTCTTACCCAGCCGTCCAATCACAGAGGAGGATGGGCGGGACTAAACCACACTGACGAACTCTCACAACATTCTTTCTGTACAACGACATCAACCAGCCGAGCTAACTCAACAAAACGCATGAAAAATACATTTTTAGTATCAAACAAATGATCTGCGAAATCAATTACAAGTAAACTGTGCGGATATTCTGTATCATAGCAACGAAACGTCTCAACGGAAAAAAAACGTGGCTTTGCGGCGTCTTCAGCAGAGCGTCTGGCGTTTTCAGCTGGATAAAAACGCTTTGGTGGACACACGGCCTAACTCTCATACATTTTGTACTATCAACCAATTACAAAAGAAGCTTGTCAGTGTAAAACATGCATCAGATCAGATAATTCTTTATCTCACCCATCAACCATACCGACCTTTAGACTTCCGGCTAAATTTAGACTAAGTCACATCGACCATTCCTGCTTTAATGACAGAGTTTGGGTCAATCAAAGCAGTGATATCGCTATTGTTCATGCCGTATACATAAACATGAGACTTAAGTGGGAGGGGCTTGTCAAGAGATGGTGTTCTCACTTCATTTGCACCTCCTTAATTTACACCCACTGCCTTTACAACCATCTGCCTCCTGAACCAGGGTTCACAACTCCCGTCAGCTATCAAGCCGGTTACGAATGAAGACCTCCTACTGATTCTCTCCCACCAGCGAAGGAAAAGAAAGGTGACTTTATAGCCAAGAATAACTTTACTTGAAGTCTGTATAGCCCATAAACTACATTAAATAGCACTAGCAGATGAATATACGTTCAAATTTTATTTGGGAATAAATGTAATTGAATTCAACCTTCAATTTATTTTTATTATTTTATTAATTTACAATGCAATGTATTGCAGGTGTTGAACTTGCTAGAACTTTGTGCAAAGAAGAGCTCCACAAAATCCGACTATATTATACGAAAGGGACATATAAATGTCCCTGATTTACAATGTAATATTCCAGCATGAAAGTGCCCTTGGTTTCTTTCTCCGTGCCTCTCCATTCTTTTTCAAATCACTGCCCTTTTCGAGTAATTCAGTACGAATGCAATTATAGTATTTCCTCCCCATTCAATTCAAACAAAACGTGCATATATTCAGAGCTAACACATTTGAGTATGTGCGGCTTATGTAACTCACTGATATATTAATAGTGAGAAAGCTTCCTAAATAATACTTCTGATAGAACGCACCACAAATAGAATGTGTATGTGAGACGACGCATTAATATTCCATTTCTGAGAGGAAAACGTCTCAATGTACGCTTGTTCTTTGGCTATTTCCCATGCCGCCTGTAATGTTTACCAGTGAATCACAGAGCATTGTAGCCCACCTCCACCTCCTCTGAAGAAGGATTTACACTTCAAACAATGTGCCTCTCTGCAGGTAGCGTGACGAAGAGTATTATTTTTATCATACTCTGAGCGAATGCATGTTAAAAGGTGAGAAGCTCCACACTCCCCCGGACACTGAGCGAGGACGACCTGAATGTGTTTTCTCACAGGAGGACGCAGAACATCGGCCCATGACTCATTTATATTCACTGGTGCACGTGTGGTGTGTGTGTGTGTCTATTGGGGCCCGGGATCGTCTTGTAACCGACGTTTAAGGGTAAAATGTTGACGTATGATCAAAAGACGTAAAAGACGTCAGTCATAAGACTTCTTGGGATGAGATTGTGTTATGTTGGATTGGTGGCAGTGGGAAAACTTTATACATTTCTGTCAGGACCACTATCGTTAAATACTATTGGAAATTGCATACAGTTTGGATTGATGGCTCTGTTCTGGCCGAGAACTCCCATGCATCCATGCAGCCTAGCATGGATGAGAGCAGCAATAACCCCCCTTAGGGTAAACAGAACAGAACCAATATGAATGTATTGCAGATATCATTCAAATCAAGATTTTATAGTACAACATAATTTGAGAATTATTTTCTGATTCAAGGGGAATCTGACCAAGTGTCGAGGTGTCCATGAGCTGCTCCAGACGAGCTGTATGGCTGATACTGCCGCCATTTTGAAAACCTCCAATGCTTGTCTTGTTTTATATCTTTCAAAGCTTAATTATACAAAGTTAACTCCTTCATAAAAAACTAAAAAAACAAAGGTCTTACCTTCCTAAATCTACACGTATGTATAAACTGCTTAGCTAAAATTATTAAACTGTTATACATTAAAATGTCCATAAGTTTCAAGTATTATTTTTTCACCATTATGATCAGGAAGTAAGTCATAATTCAATGAAACGAATAACTGAAACTATATACAATTATATTACACAGTTTAAAATGCTTATTGTACTGTAATGTAGTATCATAACATACATTGAGAGTAGGACGTTTCTTGTTCAATAAAAGCTGTTTCATGTGTAAAATACCCTCCAAATTACGTTAGGTGGCGTTATTAGGTTTTAAACCTAAGCTCCGCCCCTCACTTACGTTCCTGGCGCTGGTGTTGGTTAGAACGTAACTCCGCCCCTTACTTCCGGTTCTGGCGTTGGGGTTCTGAAACTGGTGTGCTGCGGGTCTGCAGCTGGATACTATGAGGGGTCTGTGAAAGCGCTATATAAATGCAGTCCATTTACCATTTATTTGAATTTTGTTCACAACTGAACTGCAACATTGACACTCATGAATTGAATCATCGCTGAAGTGAATTTAT